TTGCATACCATCAAAATAGACAGCTGTGACTTTTTGGTCTATAATCCAGTACTTTCAGAACTTTATTTTTTTAGCATTTTTATGCATACATCCATCTTTTAACCACTTTAACCAGTTCAGGGTTGCAGGACAACTATAGCCTATCCTAGTAAGCAAGGGGCTCAAGGCAGGAGGCCACTCCATCTCAGGGCAGACATACAGTAGACACCAGCACACTCGCATTCACACCAGAGCTAATTCTTCTAAAGCCAAATAACCTCCCAGGGATTGGAATGTAGGAAGAACGCATGCACACAAATGAAAACCAAAAAAAAATCCATAAACCCATAAGTCCAAAACTGACGAAAACCCATGCAAACACAGGAAGAACATTTAAAGTTTACACAGATAGCACCCCAGCTATGGAACTGAACTCGTGGTCCTTGTGCCACGAGACAAGAATACTAACCATTGTGCCATTGTACCACACCCCTGGCAATTTTATATGAAACCTAAAACTTTCATACAAACATAAAAACTTTGCATTTAAAGCCCAGTGGCCATTTAATACAGACCGTAATTTGCTATGTTTGGGGGTCCACTCCCCTAACTTAACTGTTATACAAGACCTCACCTCCCAGAGTGTCCTACCAGGACAACAAGCTTTTCTTTTCAGCTCCCAGTCAGTGATGGGAGAAAGTGATAGAGGCTGCGACTGCCAAGAAGCCATTTATCATCAACGTGCTCAAGGTTATTTCAACTAAAGAATACCACAGAATTTCACTAAATATATGCCTCAGTGAGTTGTACAGAAAACATTGTGGTAACTACATGCAGTGTCAATAAAACCAACAAAAATGGTATCATGCATGGAGTTTATTTACTATGCTGTTTAACAGTTAAATTATTAGATACAGTACAAAAATATTGTATAATCTATGTAATTTAGGAAATCAAAATATTATCTTCTTTTATATATTTTTTATATTTCCAATGAATTTATATGTAGAAAATAAATGCTTTTTGTGGTGTATTTAAAAAGTTACTAACATAGTTCAGTTCTGCTGTACTGGTGTTGGAATAATTTTGTTCCAGCTGTCTGTTCTCTGCTGCCAAGTTCTTCTGTTCAACCACTTAGACAGCGGTTTTAGATGAGGTCCAGAAACACATGCACACACAAGCATACATCAGTCTTATCCTACTAATTTATAACGCTCTGCCAGCGACTGCTATTTCTCATTGGTTATTAGTGCATAATCTTTTAAAAAGTGGCAGATTCCTAAGATAATGGCAAACATTTTCATAGACCATTAATTCATTTTTTAAAAGGTATAAGCTGCATGGTACCTCACTTAAGCATCCACTGTTTATTATTTCTGAATTGTTCTGATTTATGTATTGTTTACCCTTTAAAGCTTTTTATATGGAAGTAACAGTCAATGCTGAAAATCATGTGAATAGATGAAGGATTGCGCATTAAAATTGCTCATTTTCATTTACCTCCATAACATTTTCTAGCAGCGGTTTCTTCAGAGCTTTAAAATCACAGAATATCACTGCCAATGTCAATATCTTTCCATATTCCTAATGTGAAGTACGATGTGAGCACTAACACTGTCAAGAACTGTGGTGAACATCTGAGTATACAGGTTACAGATTACATTAAATTTTGTAATTTGAATAATGCAACAAATTATGGCCTAGTTTTAAAACAGAAGAGTCATTGCAGAACACTCACAATGACGCTGCTACCTTAGAATCTGGACTATTTAATATTGATTATCTTCATTTTCTACTGGCATTGTACTGCCCGAGTCTCTGTATACTGTACAGTATCTCTCTTCCCCTAACATTTTACTGCTGAATCTACGAACCCAGCAATGAATATTACATTTTATAGACAAACTGAAAACCAAGCCCAGAGGGTGCAAAAATAAAATGTCTTGTATTCATTTTGAGGTATATAGATTTATCAATGCATCTTAACACATTCACTTCAGGGCCAGGAATTCTCTGCAAGGTTATTGTTAATGTACCATCTGTGACTGGTATAACAGAAGACTTGCGATTGTATGAGGCCTTTCCGTATCTCTAATACTGTTCAAACTAAAAACTAAAAGCAATAGAAAGAGTAATGTTATCTTTTGACAAACACAAATATCTTTACAAATGCTTAAATTTATCAAAACATCATATAAGGCATTTGATTTTTGATTTTTCAGTAGGTGAGGGGGGATTAACTTAAAGCTTTCTTAAGCAAAAGCAGTCCTTGGGCATACTTCTTAAAGATTTAAGAGAGCACAATTCCACTGAGGGTCTGAAGGCCTGCACACACAGAACTCTTTGAAGAAGAAAGTGATGTAGGAGAAGCACTTTCAGAAGTTAGTGAAGGATTCCTTTCCTAAAGAAAGAAAGAATAACAATATATTTTATGAAGAGAGAATGGAGATGTTCATGTTGAGTTTTCAGAATGTTTTCTCTTCATTTATGTTTTATTTTTATCTTTATTTTCTGGTTTCATTTTATACTCTATATATAGAGTATACTATATACTCTAGGCTATGGAAATTAGCCAGAGGAAGAAAATAAAACTGCCCTATGTTAGAACATTCATGTACTGTATGATAATGAGAGTTTTTGTATCCCTTGTCATTTGACGTGATTGGTTTAAAAAACTTCAATTTTTATTTTATTTTGGCCTGAGCAATTTGTGGTTCCTATTTGATTTGTTTCCTTAAGCAAATTTGCAGGAGGTCCTGCAAAGCTTTGAAGGTGAGTTCATCCGCATTGATATTTACTACAGTATATTCACTAGTCCTGATTTTCTGATACAACTAGTATCTTCTCTTTACTAAATTCTTAGTTGGATGGCAGTCTTTGAGCGGTTTAGAATTAAATGTGGATGTGCTGCATTTGATCAAAACAATTGGAAAATTATTGCCACATATTCATGTCCAATGACTTCTAGTTTTTCTAGTTATGGAGTTATAGACTATAGTATTTGGCATGACTCACCTAGCTGAAGGAATAGAAGGCTTCACAGCCGAAACATTGTGTTATTTTCTTCTCTTTTCAGCATGGAATAAACCTTTCCTTGTTCCTTAGCTCATTGAAATAGCACTCTATCCAAGAGGATTATTGAGAGGATTGAGTTAGGGTGCTGCTGCAAGGGTGTAGATGGGATGGTAGTGGGGATGTGAGAGGGGTACACAAAGGGAATTCCTGGGTGCTATGAGACTTTTATACATGTGAAAATGTGCAAGACTAGGATTTAACAGAAGTATAATAGTTCTGTTATAATAGATTATAGGAAAATAACAGTGCTATAAAGAGTTCCTCTTAAATAAAAAAACAAGACAGTGTAGTCAGCATTCAATTCAGTTATTCAACACTATTTCATGACTATCAGGTGATCAATATTCTCTTCCCAGCAAGTTCACTTAATAGGGAGTTTTGTTACAGGGAAGGTAAAAAACAGAATATTTCTGATTTTTTAAAAAAAGACTATTTTAGACTATAATGAAATAAAGCACGTCACAAACTGATGACTAATGAACTGCTTACTTATCAGTTCTCAATGGTAAACAGACTCATTATTTTTTTACAAGACCTTTAGAACAGGCAAGCAATGAGTTTTTCTTTGCTCTCGCACACGCAATTCTGGCTGGCAGGGCTTGGAGAATGGCTTCGTTTCTCGCCTTGACATTTCTGCTCCATGTTTTTTTTATACTAGTTTGTTTGCCAAGGGGGTGAAAGAAAAGGGAACTTGCTGGTGTTTGATTTGAAAGGTCATAGTGAAGTCCCTGTAGGACCAATGAGAAGAACTGAGAGGGATCTGAGAAAAATAAGACATTAATAATATATCTCAGGCTTCGTTTTTTTTTATTTTTCCTTCCATAATTTCCCTTCACATTTGTCTCTGGGGTAAGGATATGTTTTGTGATGTGGTTTTAAAAAAGACCATTGGAGTTGTTTTCTTTTATTACGCTTGGCTCTCTAATTAACACTTCTTAATTAACTTCTTCGCTTTTGCATGTAACACTGACATTTCTCAATTATGAACACTCATTAATGAATGTAGTGTCTTGAGCCTTTTTTCCTATTGCAAAAGGCAGGACGTTGGACTATTAAAACATGCCTTTCTGAATTAATTGCTTGTAAATGCCTTTGAACAAATGCCTGCATTAGAAATTTCATTGGGAACAAGTAGGATCTTGCTGGACAGTACAGTTAACTTTTAAACATATAGGGAACAATAAAGAGCTAAAGACAAGGTACCTGTAGTCGGATCTGCTATGTCAATTCATGCACAGCCGGTAATGAGAGGTCATAGGCCACAAGGCAGAAAAATGTATCGTAAAACCTACAGGAGTCATATGAATAGGTGAGTCATCAGAGCTATTGTACTCATAGAGTGTCTAAGATAAATATTATCAAGAGAAAACCTTGGTCATAGATCAGCTTAAATTATCAACCATACGGTGAGTCATTCAATCAGTCAGTCAATCACGGTTTATGGAAGTATCAGGCATCAATGTATATTGTATTTACGTAAATGTTCACCTTTTTCAATGGAGAAAATTAAATAAATACTGTTAGTCGGTTTATTGTTTATGGAGTCTTGAACCATCGAACCACTTTAATGATCTTTGTATCAATATGTGCTTCATACCAAACTTGAAATGGAAGTTAAATCAACTAAAACCAAACTATTCAGGAAAGATGTCTCACAGGCATCCAATATGTATTTTATCATGCCTTAATGGTAAGCAATGTGAAATGGTAGTGATTTACAAAGCATGTATGTACAGGTATTGTCCATCTGTAGGATCTGCCTATACTAGTGCTATGTGAATTTAGGTAACAATTTGATGTACTTCATAAACAGAGCTCACTACTAGTATTTCTACAGTACTACTAGACAACATGATGTGGTATTTAATACTTTCAGTATTTGTACAGTAGTCTTTTGTACAGTAAGTATTTGTTCATTGACTGACATTTCTCATTTGTGTCTGCAGGTTCAACTTATACACTACAACCATGAGCTATATACAAACTACACAGAAGCAGCCAAAAGTCCAAATGGATTGGTGATAGTTTCTATATTTATGAAAGTAAGTACTCTGTTTTGCACAGTGTTAAGCTTAGTCTTCTTCTTATTCCTCAGCATGTGTAGGTAATGTACACCTACTCTGTGTGAATGTGCAGGAACAGAACAGATTAGATTTGACTTATTTTACTTCTAAGTGTAGTTTGGTTCTTGCAGAATCATATGTAATCCATACACCTACTGTATAACAGGAAGGCATCTAAGTCCCTACTGGTAGGGCAGAGTAATGTAGTTCAAATTCCAGCTTCCTTTCCCATGCAGTACAAGACAGTGAGCCAAGGAAGGAAGGCTAGTTGGAAAGTAGCCACCCAAACTTAATCTGCACATCTATGGGAGGAAAAAAGAGCACACTGTGGCACATCTATGCAGAAACAGGGAAAACATTAACATGCAAATTCCATACAGACAGGAGCCTAATCCTGGAACAGAACCAAAGCCCCAAAGCTGTGAGGCAGCAGTGCCCCAATACATTTCCTCCTGCTTTTTAATAATAATAATAATAA